TGATGAGCATTCGGACGATGTCATCATTCGACGCCTTGATGAGTTCTGGAAGGGATCGCGAGCAAGTAGCCTGGTCTTTGCGAAGTCCACGACCAGGAACAGCGCCCTTCACCCGGACATACTTGACGGATTGGTACTCCTTGGTCTTAGACTTCCTGCTGGCGGGGCGTTTGGCGATGAGACGCTGTTTACCTCGCTTTGCGACCAGCGGGTTGAAGACCTTGCGTCCAGCCATATGGTCTGTGGAGAAAGCAAGACCAGGGATCCTAAAGGCGACTATAGACTACAGCCTGACAATTCTGTGGACGGTATGAACTGCTTCAAAGCATCATGCCAGTACTGAATGACACACAGAACAAGCAAGAGCACAACACCATGAACTTTGGACCTACGCATCGGTCAGCTCCTTCTGGCAACCGTTCCGTAGAACCCGGCTACATGCCTTCCGTAGCCAAAATCAACTGATCAGCACACGTCTACGTGGCCACTATAGAGGCCCTAGGCATTCAGGTACTGGGCAGCTTCCTCGTCAGGGTCCTCCTGACCAAGATCAGCTTCTCCCGGCTGAGCAAGAGTCTCCTGTTCATCAATGTTGATTGGAGCAGCGGGACTGGACTTGGTCTTGACCCTGCGGGCGGGGGTCGGGTACACGAAAGTACCCAAACGTTTGGGTGGCCCGGCTGCCGTGGCAGTCAAGGGCGTGCCATGGATGGTGGGAGGGGGTCCGGTGTCGGAATCCGAGCTGGCGTGCTGATCCCAAAAACTCGCAGGCAAGCGAAGGAAGCCAGAGATCTTGTCGCCGATGCGTTTGTTTGCCTGCTCTATGTACTTGTCAGGGCTTTTGAACTGGACCATCGAAGCCATTGAGTCTTGGAGAGCTCTCTGCTCCAAAGCAACATCTTCTGCGAAGGTGGGCGGAAGCTCTTCTATCCCGATCTTGTACTTGGCATATTGCGGCTTGTCGCGGGGACTGAACAGATCCAAATGGATGTCATCGGTGCTAATGCGATGAACGATGCCATCAGGGTCTTGATTAGGCAGGCGAAGATACATGGCATGCTGTCCAAACACCACGACGACGGAGCGCTTGAGGACAGCAAGAACATCGGCACGTTTATGACCAGCGAAGAACTTACCGACAAGCTTGAAGAACTCGTCCGAAGTGATGTTTCGACGGCCATTGTCGTTGGGTGGTTCGTGCTCACTTTCCAAGTCATTGGACGCAATGGCTCGCATGTTGTTACGAACCATCTTGACATCATTGTACCTGCCGCTGCAGGTTGCGTCCTCCTCCGAAGTCATCCAACTCTTGATATCGGACATGTTGAGCTTGTCAACTTCAGGATCGTCCAATATCAGAGCCTCATGAACTTGCCCGACACGATGGCGGAAATTGTCTAGTGATTTCGCACGGCGCCAGGCTGGCTTGACGCCATCAATCCCTTGGCGGCAAATGTGGTATCGGCCCAGGGCCAAACCCATGACGATGAGCATGGGGGTTTTGCCAACACCGGGCCAACCCAGGGTGAGGATGCCATAGTTAAGCAGAAGCGGATACAGTATCGGCAGGAGGAAATCAGCCATGAAGGGCTTGAGGCTCCGTGTCGTGAACGGGAAGAATCTGGCAGCAGTTGCACCGGCCTGCCCTCGCGCCTTGTTCTGTGCCATGATGCGGACCTTCGACTCCGGCCAGCCTGCTATGGGCGAGCAGGAGTCTGGCTTGATGTGCGTAAGAATCCAGACGTACTGCTGGTTCTCAGCATCGCAATCTGGGGCTCGCTGGTTTATGAATGCGACACCTTTGTGAAGCTCATCAGTCTCAGGATTCCACTGCGATGTTTCTGCGCGCTTCAAACCAGTGCCTTTGGAAGAGACGCTAGCCCAATCAACGTGGTATCCTGGAAGACGATCGATGAGGGACTGAATGGCCTTCTTGAGTGTCCACGGCCCAGCCTTGTAGGTTGGTACATAGCACTGGCCCCCGCACAACTGCACGACCTGCTGGATGTTTGTCTTGTCCGCGAAGTAGATCACCTTCACTATGTGCATTGTTCCGTCCTCCATGTTGTGCACGATAAGCCCCAATCTGGAACCGCGTGGCAGCTGGGCTTGCAGGCGAATGCTTTCCGGCAGCTCATCTAAGCGGTTGTCCTGAATGACCTCACCCAGGCGGGCAACATTGCCGAACTCAGGAACATTCCAGTGGATGTCAAAGGCCATGGTGCAGGTCTTTAGTCCATCCGGTCGTCTGCACACGTCAGCAACAAAGTTGCTGACTGAGATTGGATGTTCTATGGCAGATGCGTGCACAAAGCCGCACTTCGGCAGGGATAAGGCCTCATACTGGTGCTCCTTGCCACCGAACTGGTCCATAGCCTCGTCCAACAAGTTAGCCATGGCTGTAGACTTTAGGCTAAACTAGCGGGTTTCGTCTGATGCTGAAAACACCTTGCCCTACAGGCGATGCGACGGAAGGTAATGCGGCGCTAATTACAGCACGACGCA